TTGCAGATTTGAGAGGCAGGTTCAACATTTCACATTTCATTCATCCACATTATGTACAATCAACACATATAAAAACACAATTACAAAATAAAATGTTACAGTGGGGCTAATTTATCACATTGATTACTATTACTATCATTATTGTCCATTTTTTAGTGTCAATGTTAGTTTCCAAAAGAGATTTCCATTTTGCAGTTGCTCCAAAATGACACATTAACTTCACAGGGTTCAGATTTCATAATAGGAAGATAACAATTCTGTCTTAACATTTTTCTTTTATTACGATTAGCAAATGAGTGAGACTAATCTACTGTAACACATTTTGTATTGTAGATGATTTTGTTAATGTCAACTTTGTGTCATTTGACAAAAACTGTCTCATAGTTTATAATGGCTTTTTAAAAAATAAGTATCATTTTCTGAAACAGTCTGAGCAAATCTTGTTTTATTTTATATGTATTTTCACATTTTATGACCACGTCTGTTGCAAAAAATCATTTATCTTTCATATTATCATGTACATATCTCCCATGCCACACTTGGTATAATGAAGTTAGGACAAGACTCTTTTTGTAGTAATAAAAAAATATACTTTGCAATCTAAAAGTTCTGTCCTCCTTTAGTTTGACATTTTACTTCCATTGAATTGCAGCTTGTAAAATGGACCATGCTCCCTGATGACTACATGTTGTGTCATAAATTATTGTTCACTGGTTTGGCGTCTGCTTCCATACACAATGCACAAACGTTTCAAAAATACTTAGACTTGATTACCTATTGTAACTTGTCCATCATTCCTCTTCAGCTGTACTTTGCTTTACAATATTGTGTCTGAAGTGTTATTGTCTATTGTTTTATATTGTTCATATTTCTACTTCACCATTGCATGAGACTCTCTAGCTGCATGGTTTCATCTATTCTCTTGTCCTTTGTTTCTTGTTTTCTCTTCTCAAAGCCCGGCCCCTCCTAACAACCCTCCACCAACCGAAAGGTGAGAACGCCCACAATTTGTCTCCAGCGACAGAAACGCACAAAGAGAAGAATGTAGACACAACATTCCTTAGATTTACCATAACCAAAATACCTCCCCCTAGTCTGTATTTACTAGAGTGGTTGTAGATTTTGTAGTAAATCCATGTTTAGTCCTGATATTAGACCTAACCTTAGCCTATAGATCTGGTTCAGTCCTGGTTTTATCTCATTGTTCTGTATATTAAGCCTGGTGGTTACTAATCCATGTGTCATTTGTTCATTCGTTTTTCAAAATAAAATAAAATAAAATAAAAAACGAAAAAACAACTATTTTCTTCATTATGTGTCTCCAGAACTAAAATGAAAAAATGGATAACGATTTTTTTTTTTCTTTTTCAGTTTTCGATTTTGTGTTTAAATGAATAATGGAAAAAACAGATAATAGTCGTTTCCCATTTCCGTGACTTAAACTGTGTTGCCAGACTGAACCAGGATTGAACTAGTACTGAACCAGGACTCATCCCAGGACTTATCCCAGGACTAAACCAGGTCTAAACCAGGTCTAAACCAGATCTAAACCCAAACTGAACCAGGACTCAACCAGGTCTACCAGTACTAAACCGGTCTCAGTCCTGGTCTCAGCCCCATCTCAGTCAGACTAGACCAGGACCAGACCAGGACTGAGACCTGTATAGTCCTGGTTTAGTCCTGATTTAGACCAGGTTTGTCTTGGTTCAGTTCTGGTTTAGACCTGGTTTAGTCCTGTTTTAGTCTTGGTTCAGTCCTGGGTCAGTCTGTATACGGCGCAAAAGTCCAGCATTGCAGTTTAAGTCATGGAAACGGGAAACTTTATCTGTTTTTTCTATTATTCATTTAAACACAAAAACTGAAAAAACGAATCGTTATTAATTTTTTCATTTTGTTTTTGGAGACAGATAATGAAGAAAATAATAGTTTTTTTTTGTTTTCTTAATTTTTAATTTTATTTTGAAATACGAATGATGCAAAGATTGTTACTGATGTTTAGTTCTGGTTTGGACTTGGGATAATTGATGCTCATATCAGTTTTTGAAATATTGGAGGGTGTGGTTTAAACCAATATGTTTTTTTCATTAATCCTAATGGAAATAGAAGAGCAATGGCGCTAAAGAGGGGACTATATGCTTGAAAAAGTATAAACAAACTATTATATCTGAAAACATGCAACTTCAGCTTTGAATTTGTGGACCTCTGCATTGAATTTGAATTATTCAACATTTTAAATCATCTGCCACAACAGCAAGACAAATATCAATATGTATGAGGAAATTATAAAGACCATCCCTAGTTTAGATCAATTTTTTTAAAGAAAGACATAACCAGTTTTAGTTGAGTTCAACCAGAACTGAACCAGGTCTAAACCAGGACTAAACCAGGACTAAACCAGGACTAAACCAGGGCTAAACCAGTCTCAGTCCTGGTCTAGTCCTGGTCTCAGTCCTGGTCTCAGTCCTGGTCCTGGTCCTGGTCCCCGGTCTGGTCCTGGTCTGTTCCCGGTCTCGGTCCCGGTCTTAGTCCTAAACCAGGACTAAACCAAGACTGAACCAGGATTGAACCAGGAGTGTCGGGACAGATCCGGAGGTGCGCCCGCGTAGACTGTTGGGTGATCAGGACTGAGACCGGGACCAGACAGGGACTGAGACCCAGACCAGAATAGGACTGAGACTGGGACTGAGACCAGGACTGAGACCGGTTTAGTCCTGGTTTAGTCCTGGTTCAGTTCTGGTTTAGACCTGGTTTATTGTTGCCTAGACTTATTATAGTCCTTATTTAGTGCCAATTAAATCTTTCATTCCTTATGTCCTACTTAATCTGCTTGAGATACTGTTGGATCCTTGCATTTTTTACATTTGGGGTTTCTGAATGCCATTTAGTCTGATACTTAAGAAGAAAAAAAATAAACCATTAGCAGGTAGAATAATCTCTCAGATACACTATATAAGACTTTTAATCCCTCTGCTGCTTTGTGATGTTTGCTGCTTTTCAAATCCATTCATATCCACTAACAATCTCGTATGTTGCATCTATTGAAGGTCTATTTCTGTCCTTTTCTCAGGTAATCTATAGAACATAAGAGCTATGTAAATTGGATGTTACTGCAGCACTTAATACATCTTTCTCTTCATTATTAGTCTTCACATGTGGTTGGAGTGGCACTACATGTTTGTGCATATCCAAGGACACACATCACACATCTCAAGAGCCTTTTAATTAAAGTAGTTTTATCAGTCTCAAAGCAATATTTTTATCAGTAATAATATGCCTGAAAACCTTTGCAGTATGGGCAGTGATAGATAATATGTAGCCGTGAGATGAAATGTTCCCAAATGCAAATATTTCATTTCATTTTGAATAGCTGTGAGGTTTTGTGGTGTCCCCAAAAAGTATGTTCTATTATAGTTCACCACAGCAAATTTACTTTGAGCTCAATGCCTGCTGAAGCTTGTCTTTTTAAATATTTTTTGCAAAGTTGGATTTTAACTAGTTTTGGTGTATGAATTGGTAATTGGATAGAGGTTTTTGTCGCTCCCATAGACTGTAAAAAGGAGTGGACTAAGGGAGTGTGACGTTACCCATAGCGTTCGGCACTAGTCAAATGAAGCTCACGAGGCCAGCAGTTATAGGAGCGAATTTGGAGCGAATAGGAATTTATTTACGGACATAATAGTGAAATAAAACCACCTGGATCATATAGTGCAGGTTAATAAAACATTTTGGGACATACCATGTTTTTCGGACGATAAGGTGCATTTAGCAAAACAAACGGACAACACTTGAGACTGGTCCCTTAGCTTAGGCGTCCACGATCCATTGGCAGATCGTAGTGTAATTCACCCGGTGTTGCCTCCCTGTCTTAGTGAATATGTATTATGAATTGGAATGTGGGTGGATCATTTAAGTTTATTTTTTAAATTCCTATGAAGAGGACTCAAATATCCAGTGAGTAATAATGTGTTTAATCTAGCTTTGCACACATTTGTTTACGTTTTACAGAAACAAAACTTAAAACCACATGGTTCATTTGCATAAACTATTACCGCTAAAAAAACAGCTCACTCCTTGTGTGCTGATGCAGTCAGCTTCTATCGACTCACTTTGCAAGGCTCCTGATTACAGTAGCCATAATGCTCCGACAATCCATCAAGCGGTGCGGCTTTGTAGTTTACCAAAGTCGTACTAAAACATTCTGACAGATTTTTGAGCGCCGTGTACCACATAAAATCAGTTCAAGGTCAGTAAACACAACCAGAATTAATACATAAGGTGCACCAGATTATAAAGCGCACTGTCGATTTTTGAGAAAATTAAAAGATTTTAAGTTCACCTTATAGTCCGAAAAATACGGTAACCGCAAAATGATAAGGCTTGCTGCAGCAGTTACAGAGAGAGTGGTGACAATATCAAAAGTGAATTGGAGCCGATGGAGTAGGGAGCACACCCATGCTCACTTCATAGTTGGAACATGGCAGCTAGTGGGTTAGCTTTGTCCATTTATATATACAGTCTATGTTTTTCCCTGACAGGTTGCCCAGCATCACTGAAGGCTAGGGCAAATACAAAGGAAAAAATTCCCAACAGTGACAATAAAGTGTACCTTAACATTAAATTGAGCAAATCCACTGTTAACGGTTGCGTTACTTGTGTGCTAACTGACAGATAAACATATTTTCATTTAAAATAATTACCAAAATAGAAATCCATTCAAATCTAGCCCACGCACAGCCATAAACAGTCTTTCCTTCGTGCCATAATCTACATTTTCCTTATTAGGAATGTTGCTCTTTTGAATTCTAACTCTGCACTGCTGCCCAGATGAGACAGTTAATGGTGTTTTTTTGTCAGTTTTGGTGCTGAATAATTATCCCCTGCTCTCATTACGGCGAGGATGCCACACACATACAGTACACACACACCATAATTGCATTTTCAATAATTCATGAGGAAGGTGGAAGACTTACCTGATGTTTTATTTCCTTCTTTTGTTGCAGAAGCTGGAGGAGTTTTTGTTTTGCGTGGAGGACAATGCCCCAGAGGTGAGTGCATGTAATAGCGAGCTCTGACTGTATTTTATCAGAGTAATTAACTGTCATTGCGCTGGAGCAGGACACAAAGGGATCAATTAGCTGACATGAACTTAAACATGGCCCCTGACTCGTGGTCGACTGTTGGATCAATACCAATTTACATGAGTAACTCTTGTCTCTGCAATGTGACCAATGCATTTTACGGAGACTTCTGCTGAGCTGGTGCTTTTGGGAACTTACACCTGCGCTACATTCACCTGTACTGCCATTGTGTACATATAACAAACTCAGCAGTAATTTGCTGTGGTGGGCTTATCTTGTCTATAAACAGCAGGTTGCACGCTGTTTTGCTTTTTCTTTTTTGAAAACTTGAAATATTAATCTTGTCGCTTCTACTCCAGTCAGTACCATAATGTAATATAAACATTAAAAGTGTTTTCCACCTATAATTTTTCATTTTACATCTGCACAATGTAACTTTCACCACCCATGAAGATGTTACTGCTTTGTCTGGAATGTTCCACAGTATGACAATGAGCATATCTTATCTTGCAATAATTCAATAAGTACCTACTTGGAAAAACTTGGAAGAAGAGAATTTTAATGCATACTGTTGAATATTCCAGGTATAGCATAAATATCTCAGGTAGTGTACCTTTCACCAGAAAAATTACAAAGTGTATCTTTAATTTATCCTGACAGAGAAAGCAGAGAATGAACTTAAACAAAACCAAACAATCATTTAATTCATCTTGATGAAGAATCATCATAGCTGAAAGCACTGACGTCAAATTCTACATAAAAGTAAACAACTTTAATTCCAAATAATTACCAAAACCTATCCAAAGTTGATTTAAATATAGCCCACACACAGCCATAAACAATTCATCCATGCTAATGTAATCCAATCCAATCCAACTTTATTTGTACAGCACATTTTATAAACAAAACCATTTCCAAAGTGCTTTACACAGCAATGTAAAAACAAAAAAAAGAAAAAGAAAATCAGCAGAATTATGTGTTCCAACGATGAGGAAATAGAATCTAATGGAATCAATAAATAAAATAATAATCATAAACTCAAGTAACAAAAATTTAAATCAATACATAAAAGCATTAAAAAAAAAATCAAATAGATAAAAACAATAAAGAAATAAAAGAAATAAAAGACAAAGAGGAATCACCTGTTTCCTTATGAAGAATGTTGGTCTTTTAAATTCTAACTCCATACTGTCATCCACTGTTCAGCTCAATTTCAACATAAACCAATACACTGTGCCTAATTCTAACTGAATCAAAATACATAGGCCTACATGTAAACGTGGTCCACACTTGAGATATTGAGATATTTACTGTGGCAGCACCAGAAGTGAAAATTCAAAACAAGAGGTTATTTGATAAAAGGGTGTGTCAGTATAACAAGGTTTAACAGCTCCCGCTCCCTCTCATAAATATATTCAAGATCACTTTTCAAACCTTCATGTCAACTTGAAATATTCATATCTAAGGACGTGTGCCGAACAGATCCAAATAAAACCACTGACTTTCACTTTACCTTGTGTGCACTCAATGGAAACAGAAATCTTTTTTCTGGTGAAGGGTCCGCCACCTGCTTGTCGTGGAGATTTTCATGCTTTGTCAGGAATGTTCCACAGTATTGCATTACATTTATCCATCTTAAATGATCTTATCTTAAATTAAAAGGTGTTTTTATGACAATATTTGATCTCAAAAGAAACAGAAAATGCACACCAAAATTCTTATAGAGGTGCAAATGCAAGGAGCAGGAAGATAAAGGTGGAAAAATGCATAGCACACTCAGATGGCCGATGTCCAAAAGATTTTTTATCGTCAGATATTTTTCTTGCTTTGGACCACAGTACACAAAATGGTTGCCAGCCCAGGTGCTCATATACCCCTCCAACGAATGGGAGGTCCCAAAGTGAGAACATCCAGTGAGTTCAGCCCATTCTATTACAAGAAAAAGACTGTTTAAATATTTACAGAAGAAAACATTCTATTAAATACAGAAATAACCATATCACAAAAACATATCATAAAATATTTTATCTCAGTCTAAATTTGAATGGACACAACTATCAATTCGCTAAGGCTGTAATTTTTTAAGCTCCTTAATTTCCTCTACAAGCTACAAATTATATTGTTACTCCAAAAATTACTAACCCTGTGGCTTAGATCTGTACAAACATTTTGTGAAATGTGATTCTTGTATTAATTTGTCAATTCATATTTCAGTATTCTTCTGCACATGTTTAAAATATAAAATATTTAATAAATAATCTAATCCAAACTCAATTCCTGTCAAAAAAAAGTTGCAATTAGGTATTTTTCCCTAATCATGCAGCCCTGTTGTCTGATATTTGAGCAATGTATCAGACAGTGGAAATGGAAAAAAATACTGAATTTCACTGTTGTTTTACCATGTTAAGAACTGTAAGTAATCGTAAAATTGTGACGTTTCTACTCACACAAATGAATGAACAAATGAAATACCATGACATAGCTTATAGCAATAGAGAAACAATATTAACACCTAAAATATGCAAAAAACAAACAAAACAAAAAACCCAACATTTTGTATTGAAGGTTAGACTGCCTTGCCCAGGGAAGAAAATGCAGGTCCCAGGTGTCTCTTGTATGATATGGAAAATTATTCATAACACCATAGAAAGACCATAATGCAGGGACCCCACACAACCTGAATGCCAGTTTAATGATTAGTGGCAGCGGTAGACCATGATGCATTGCAGTACACACCAATCTGTCCTTACAACATGGAGATGGTTTGACGCTAGTGTCTTTGTTTTGCAGCACATCCGACCTCTTTCTCCTTTCTGTAATGACTTTAAGTAAATGATTTCCACTTAGCTTGTGCAGAGCCGATGCCCTGCTGCCACAATAGAGATTGATTTGGTGTGTTCTGGCTTCACTCTATTCTATCCTAATCTACACTAATTGTACTTTTATCCTTTCAAGGTTGTTCATTCCCTTTCTCATTTGGTCCCATGAAAAGTTGTTAAGGATTTCTGATTAGATATGGTAATCAGGTAGTTTTGATTAACACCTTATAGCAACCCCCTACATGACATATGGTTGTACAACGTGTGCTGCTATGACCTAGTTCTGAACAATAGATAACTTAATTTTTATTTTGTTGGAGTTTTTACATTTGTTTTCATGTGTTTACACAAAGAACTCCCACTCATGTGTCCTGTATTGTGAAACTGTCAAGAGCCCACTTCAATTGACATCAACATTTTGAATAACATTTTGAATACCTCTTGTACTGTCCCCACTTATTCTTGTTTTAAAAGTTTTGTAACACTCGTTTGGAGGACTGCTTTGAATAGAAACGTTCCCTTCACCTTAGAAAAACAGCAGGTGCATAATTACGCAGACATTAATGTGATAAGACCCACTGTTTTTCTAAAGCACTCATGAGTTTTGGTTAAGTCTTACTATATATTAAGAACAAAATAATGATTGTAATGATGGAAAAGGAAGGCATGATTCAGAATTATAGGTTTGTTATTTTATCTGCAAATTTTGGTTGTTGGTAGGGAGACAATACAGAACCCCACTGACCTGCAAGAGCATTTACAACAAATCCATCATTGGCACTGCAATAACTGTCCTAAATAGCACCAGTATCACTCTTTTACCCTGAACATCTGATTTTATATGCATATTTTTACTCTGTTTGACTGTCTGAAGGGGAGGGTTGCCAGAATTAGCCATGTTGAAGATTTTCTGTTTCTATGTATATATATTCTATAGTCTATATGCCATACAAACTTTATTTATAAAGCACTTTAAAAACTTTACAACTGTACACAAACACAGGATAGACAAGGACAATCACAGTACAACACAATGCACAGTACAAACACAATACAAGTACTAAAAACAGAAAACGACAACAAGAAATGTACATGTCACTTGTTAAAAGCCAGTGAAAAAAGGTTCGCTTTAAGGAGTGATTTAAAAACAGATACAGACTCGGCCCGTCTAATCTCTAATGGAAACTGGTTCCACTTAGAGTTGGGCAGTAATACGGTACTACAGTATCCTGCAGTATCAAAAAGTAGCAACGGTATCAGTTTCATTACCATCATTAAAAAAATCTGAAGCGCATTAGGACCTAAATTTGTTTGCTTAGCACAAATGAATGTGTGGTTTTATTTTCAATTTAATGCTATCATGATTTAAAACTAATAGTATCTCTAATGTTTCTTTTAACTGTGTGGCGAGATGACATTTGATTAGTTTAGTTCCGTTGTCACGTGATGCTCATAAGGGAGACCAAGACAAGATGGCAACTCAGGCCACAAGTGAGTTGGTCCCCAAAAAAATACTAGTACTTCTGCAATTTGGCAGCATTTTGGCTTCAGGTGCACATTTGTTTACGTTTTACGGAAACAAAACTTAAAACCACAGGGCTCATTCGCATAAACTATAAAGCACTGATAAAAACAGCTCACTCCTTGTGCACTGATGCGGTTCAGCTTCTGTTGGACTAAAGGACATGACTCATATGTTCTTTCTGCGGCAGAGGATGTGCTGCTGATGGTGAGTCTGTTCTGTGGATATGTCACGTTGGAGATGGTTCATGTGAAACTTTTCAGAGATTATAAATCTTCAGGTCATACGCATAGACCGTATACATTTTGGTAATACAGTAATATCTTATACCCCTGTAAAATCCTAAGAAGGTTTAACAGTATCAAAATTTGGATACCACCCAACCCTAGTTCCACTATGTATTATAAATTGATACCCAGATAATAATCAGTATTAAAACTAGTATTCCAAACTAAATATTCATGTGGGTGCTTTTTAGACCGAATAAAACCACATAAGACAAAACTGTGTTCCCTTAATAGTTAAGAATGGTCTTTATCAGAAGTAGTATAAGACCACATGGTAATATTATTAAACTACAATTATTTTGGTTTGCCAATTAGATTCTGTTGTATAAAAATTGAAGT